AGACATTCAGTGGACTTCAGCCACCAATGGTGGCTGAATAAGTGAAACAAAACTGCAGAAATAAACTGATGGTGTGCACAATGCAGGGTGCTAATGGTCAATGGCTGAGATGACCAAACTTCATGCACATGGCTTGCAGCCTGGGTCTTTCTCAGTGGCCTGTGTGCTTGGGGTGAGTTCTGCTGTCTTTTGCATATTAGGAGCCAGCTTGTTCCCTGAAGCTGTGGAGACACGTGCTGCTGGCTGAGAAGGACCTTGCTTCAGCCTTGGGCCATGAAGGCAGGTGTCACACTGCCACCTCTGCTGCTGTCACTGCCATGATGACCCAGGATGTAGTGCCAGGATGTGTTTCACTAAGCAGGGATGTCGCTGAAGCGACTCTGGATTGACAGGCAATAGCTGTTCTTTCCCATACCGAAATGCCACATGCTCCTGAAGGACTGGAGACTGCTACTGTGGTCCCTGGTGTTGCACACGACATGCCACAGTGACAGGTTCTCATCTAGCCTGTAGATGTGTGCTTCTCAAGGAGAAAATTGCAGTCTGGGGAGGCACTCTGTGGGCTCAGTGTGTACAGGAAACAGCTAACAGAAGAAGGCTGTGGTGTTGGAGAGGAACATGGCACAGTTGCATGAGTCAGTCTGGTAACAGAGTATTAGAGAATAAATTGCACTACCCCCAACCTTAAGGACTGCAGATAATGCACAGCAATGAAGTTTTATCTGTGCTCAAGTACATATTTTTTATGCAGCTAAAGCTATGTCACAGATGTTCTTCACTAGAATAGATTTTGCCTTTGCTAATCCTGTATTAATCTGCTGGTAGAGCCTGAGCTGCGTGATTGCCACTGGGCTCCTTGCAGAGAGGAGCCTCTGGTCACGAAGGGCACAGTTCCTCGGCAGAGCTGCAGCTGGGGTTCAGGTTTGCTGTGCCGGGGAGAACCCCGTTCCTGTTCCCAGTGCGGTGCTCTGCCAGGAGAGGGAGCTAGGACTCTGGGATTCAGGGCCCTTTGATGTTTTCTGTTCACAAACCATGGAGGTGTTACGGCTGTCCAACGTAGGCTTTGCTGTGTGGCTGAGTGAGTGTTCAGGGGGCTCATGATTTTCTATGGAGGCCACCTACTGAAGTGGTGTTTGGTTCCTGCTGGAACTCAGAGGACTCTGGCGCTCTGAACTGTGTTTTGAGGCTCTCAGTCCCTTTTTTTGAATGCTCTGCTGGGTGAACTCCAGTGGGAGTTTGGGCTGGGTGAGAACAAAGTGAAGCCTACAGATTCTGGAATCATCAGTAGGTTTAGAGCCACTGCTGGAGTGGAGAAGGCAACCAATGGGTGCATAGCAAGGCAAGCAATGGCTGGGAGGAGGGAAAATTTTTGGTTAAGGCTGCCATGTGGCAAACAGATGTTGGACAACATTTCTTTTAACCTAAAAACACATCAGCCTTCTTCCCCCTGCAGTATATGTGTTTCATTTTGAACAAGTAACTGGCAGCTGGAGAAAGTTATTAGAAAATGCTCCATCTATATTCCGGCACTTGCAACAGCAGCAAAATTACCTATTTCCTATTCTGCCCAAGCTTTCTGCCTCCTTTCTTAGATATTGTTGGCCTCAAGTCAAGTTCTGCTTAAGTTATGTATCAGAAAGGGAATAAGTGGAGCTCCAACCTTGTTTAAAGTGTAGAAAAGGGAGTTTAAACAAAGCTGGCAGAGACACTGACTCAACTATTATCTAGGTTTTGGATGCGGTTGGGCCTGCTGGTAAAAAAACCAGGAAATAAGTGAGAAAACAACTCTTAAAATGTGAAAACCAGCCAAATCTACAGGGCTCCACTCTGTGTTCAAAAGTCTGTAAGTGCTGATAAAAGAGCACACGTGATGTGGAAGTGCTGTGTCATTATCACCGGCCCTTTCAGTCTTATTATCGTTTCAGTTTTCTCCGAGTTATGAATTCATGTCTGGCAAGGGAAGAGCATGCTAGTGAAATCTGGTAGTGTTTCCTACCTGATTTGAAAGTAAGAACAGAGTAATTTGTTTGGGACAATTTTGGAAATTAGAAGAGCTTCTCAGACAGAACTGGGCTTTGTTAGCCAGGAAGGGGCCAAGCTAGAGAAAATATTGTTGAATAAAGCACAGTGTGAGCAGACACTGGAAACAGTAAATAGTAAGGGAGGCTCCTTCCTAAGAAATGTATTTTGCTGGCTCTGTATGAGTCAGAAAAACCCTGTGATCTGTTGCCCTCGTTGCACATTACCCTGTGGTCCAAGGGGTCGGCTTTGGCTGCTGGTGGCTGGGAGGCACCAGCAGTCACTGCAGAGCACTGGAAAGAAGCTGCTCCCAGAGGAGTGGCCAGTAGCCATCAGGGTGCAGGAAGTGTTGGTAGCTAGTCCCTCAGGTTTATGGCTCTTAGTATTTCTATCTTCAGAAAGGGCTCTAACTGATCAGGATGAATGGTGTGGAGTTGTGCATGCAAGAGCTGTGGTTGTGACTTCCTATCTCTGTACCAGCCAACAAGTTATTATAAAAATAAATACCTCAATGGCAGCAGCAGCACCCCCAAGGGCCTATTTACTTCCACTGGCATGAACTAATTCCTGCAGAGGAGCTCAAGCCAAATCCTGCAGAGACCAGCAGGAATCTCTCCAGGCTCTTGCAAAGGCAGTTTGCACACTGGAGAAAATGCTGGTGCTTGGTCATATTTATTGCCATGTCAGTTAAAACATGTTGTCAGTTAACACCTTCCCTAACACAACATATATTTTCTAAAACTGAAGGAAAGTGAGCTTTTTTACCTCCTTTTATTCTTCAGGTAGTTATTCTGATTTATTTCTGAAATTGCACAACACACTAAATGCTGGTTCGTGAAGTGGCCGGGGATCAATTATTACCTTTTCATGTGCAAACCGATCTTAAGGCATCTATCAATCTCTTATAGTCCTATCTACAGAAGATATGTTCAATTTCAGAAAACAGAAAACATATAAGGGAAGCTAAGGCAGGGTGACATTTGTTTTCCTTGGCTTGCTCTCTAGATGTTTGATGGGTGAGTTTATTATCTATAGTAACAATGAACAAGCCAATACACGCTTTTCAAGGTTTACAGGTGCGTTAATGTAACTTGCTCATTTAATTTGGATCTATATCCTCCTGAGAAGGGCAGAAGATTTTCATTTTCAAGGCCTTATTTAGCCATAAAATGTGTATCCCTTTAGCTAAGAGCAGATCTATGAATTTCATTTCATTTGGTGACAGGAGAAATAGCGATGTATGTATCACCCTCTCAATAACTGCTATTAAAAGGTGTGTGTTTCATGAAGAAACAGTGTGTTCCATGTCATAACATCTTTCATGAAATATAATTCAGGGCATTTGTAGCATAAGTATTTGAAAAGTATCAGTTCACTCTTATTTCAAGAGTGTGGGGAAAATACAAGCCCCTTATGTGGCTGGAGCTGGCCATCTGAAAAATTAGGATGGATTTTGCTGGCTCCAACAAAGCCAGTAGGAGATTTTCTATGGCCTCAATGGGGCCAAAAATTCTCCTAGATTTCATACTATTATAGATATTGTACAATTTAGCCACCAAGGTCATTAAAATGCTATAATCCCTCGTGTGATACATGATGGGGTAAAAGCACTTACAAAGGTATTGCTTTCTAAACTGGTGTAATTATAGTGGTAATTCCCAGAGAAGTATTGCAAATGCATTTCCAGTTCCAGTTTCTCAATTTTTTTGTCTGTGTTCATTACAGTAGTGATATGCTTCTGTCTAAATCTTGTTGATGTCCTTCCAGAGGCCACTAAAAACCCTAAAGTAAGTAAAGAAAAATTTAGTTGATGATTCTGACTGGCTTCTGAGTTGCTGCCTTTTGAGCCCTGTCCCTCAGCTCATAATCTATAATGTTTGCTCTTATACTACACAGACTACTCGCTCCTTGTTTATATTCATCCCCTTACAGTTTGTCTAACTTAAAGAGAATTAGGGAAAAAAAGGAGAAAATTCAAGTCCTTGCCACACCAAATGTGGATGCTTTGGGCCTAACAAGCCTGGGACAGCTGTCAATACTGAGCTGCATTTTCAGTCCCTGGGAAGTGTGCAGCTGGGCAAAGCTGCCCTGTGGGGCACTGGGGGCTGCTTTGGCTGGGCTCTGGTGACAGAGCGTGGCGCTCAGGCTCAGAGCACAGGTCTGCCCCTCCTGGCAGTGCAGAGAACATGAAGCTTCTCAAAGAAACTGACTTGTGATCCCTCCTTTTCCAGTTTTAAGAAAGGAAAAGGTCTCTGAATTATGGCAAAAAAGGATTCAAACTGAGATAAACAAGAGTCTTGCAAGGGGTGAGAAGAGGGCCTGACTGTTTCCTGATGGTGATCCTCTCAAAAAATTATGAAAATCAGCTAGAGGTAAATAAAATTAAATGTTGTCTTTATGACAAGTGCGAAACGTGATCTTAGGGCCCACTTATTTTTAACCTTGCAGTTGCACCATATTCCTCAGTGGCTGGGGATGAGGCACAGAGGTGTTGGAAGCTCTGGTATTTTTCTTTCCCCAGGGCTTGAAATTAGCCTCATGTGCTTTGTACGTGGGTGATACAGGAATTTCCATCTGCTCTGAAGATGTCTAGATGTGCGTTTGTCTTTGGTTCATAAAGCCACCTCCTTTCTACTGCTTAACTAAACTCTCAGATGTTATTTGAACAAAGAAGTGCTGTTCTTTAGGAAGAAAACCAGGAATAAGCCCAGCGTATTTATTCTTTTCCTTTGAGTGTTTTAGTCCTTTGACTAATGCTGACAGGATTTCTGTTCCTGGTGTGTTGCTAGCTTCTTCACAGGTGCTACCAAATAAATACATCATTTTGGGACATGATTTCTTACAACTGCCTGGCAAATTGCAGTGATGCTGTCAACTCATTCCTCACATGCTTTTATCAGACAGATACCAGACTAAAGACTAAATGAACAACATCTACTTTGATCAGATACAAGATTAAACATCAAATGAACAATACTTACTAGGCCTAGATTTGAAATGGTCACTGGGTTCACTGTAGTTTTACATCTCCTCATTAGCCCCTGGAGGCATCCAGTCACCAACAGAAAACATTGCAACAAGGAGCTTTGTGTCTTCTAACATAGAAGGAAACCTGCAAATAATAACATTTTGATTAAATACACCCCCTGAAAGCTGGTGATATCTCAAACAGATTACCAATTTGGACTTTCAGAAACCATGCAATTCAGTGTTTCTTAAGAACGAAAAACATACAACATTTACATCTCACAATTTCATACATTCTTTTCTAGTAAATAAAGCCAGGAATTTCTATTTTTTCTTTAACAAGAATTTTGATGATGTTTAGTACATGTGTATAATACACAAACAGTCTATGAAATCCATGTTTACAGCTTTGTTGAGAGTTAAAGACACATAGAGGTGAGTGCATATAACACTGACCTGAGATTCAAAGTGCTACCACCATGCTCCCACCTGACTGGGAAAGACCCAGTTCTTCCATAAGGTTTTGGATTTAATTGTGTTTTTTTTTTTTTTTTTTTTTTTTTTTTTTTTTTCTTTTTGACTCGAGGTCTTTTGGCTGGCATAGCTAAGAAGTCACCACATTCTAGGCCAGGATCTCCAGTATTTACCCAGCAGGTGCTGCAGCCCTTGGTGACTGTGACAGTTTGTACCACGGTACGGGGGACACAAGATGGGTTTAGCAGCTGTGTTGGCCACGTAGGTAAGCAATGCACAAATTGAGCCCTTTAACCAAGATTTTATGAAGCAGAGAGCTGCCATATATTTCACTGATATAAAAGGGCTCAAATCTCCCAACTGGTGGCTTTGGTTGCTATAATAAAGTTGTACTAAAATTAGTACCTGATATATTAATTTTTTTTTTTTTTTTTTGGTGATAAATAGCTTGATCAGTTCTGTGAGAATGAAAGAAAACTTGATAGGACATATAATCTACTGGGACAGCAGGAACTCTCTGTGGTTACTCATGTATCTACAGGGGAAACAGGAAAGCAAGAAAATGTAGTGCTTCAAGCATATTCTAAATAGATCATTGTGCAGAAAAATTCTCTCATCACAGAAACCAAAAGGTTTATAACCAGGACAGGCAGTGCCTGCTCTGCAGTGACAGCTTCATGTTTATTTATTCTAGAAAGAATAAGAAGGAGATACTAAAGTAAAGACAGGATAATTTTATTCCCAGATCAAATAAAGGAACACAGAGTGTGTTCTCAACAAAGTGATTACTTTAGGGGGAACTAATACAATGAATGTTATTAAATTAAACAACTTTTTATAGGGCATCTCACATTAAGGATTTTAGTGTAAGTAATATTTCTGTCAGGCAAAATGATGCAAGACAAAATAGCTTTTATAGAGGTATTCCTTAATACAAATATTCCTGCAAAAATGTAGTCAATCTAGTATACTTCCTCTGTAGCAAATTATCACTTTGCATAACAGCTCTGAGAAACAGGGATGTCAGGAGCAAAGATGACTATTCTCCTAGATGACTAGATGCCTGAAATCTTTGATTTTAAATTAGCTTTTAGGAGCTAGTATACATAAAGCTAGTATACATATCTGCTCAGCACAGATAGCTGGGAGAAATCCTCAGCTCCATAGGAGCTGTCTTCAGTGCAAATCCCAGCGCCTTGCCTGTCTGCCCTTGCATCGCATGGGAAGCCTTAGGAGTGAACCCTCGCAGGGCTGAGCATGAGGTGCAGCTAAGCTGGATTTTTTACAGAAACCATGCTTTCTCAGAGCATTTACTCACACAGGCTGTGGCAATCAGAGCTAAGAATTGTGGACCTACTGCTTCTTTTCCAGTCCTGAAAATGGACATCCGTATATCACCACACTTGAAGACCTAGAGCTACGTTTTATTATCCTAGAATCTGAGAGGTCTCAGGGGGTAATTATGTATAAAATGACTAAAACATCTTGCCTCAGGTGCAGAGTTCTGGAAAGCCATGTCTTCTCTAAGGGTCGTGAGAGTGAGATGAAAAAGCCTGACTGCATCATCTTGTATTGTTCCCTCCAGTGCCTTTGCTAGTAATTTATCAAATCTGTATTTATCTTAGCATTTATATATGGCTCCCATTGCACCACTTTGCAATATTCAATTCCTTTATTCTCACAAGGGCCCTATCTGGTATATTCTGCATCACATCTCATGCAGTCTTGAGGAGAAGGATCATAGCAACAGAAAATGACAGGAATGTAGTCCCTTTTACTTATTTGGTACCTCAATCCCTAAATTTTGGTTTGATGCTTACTACATAGGGCTTCTGTCTCTCATGTGGGAAATGTGAAATGAGTACAAGGGCTTCATTAGAAATATGAAGGGCTCAGAGTTGTCCTCTATTTTCTGCTACTTTCTTCCAAAATATTGAGGACGTTTCAGGAGCTAGAGAATTTACACATCATGTCACTGCAATTATTTGGTCAAGTTCTATTGCTTTTATTATTCAGGAAATTTGACCACAAAATGCACGTGTGCTTTTTGTGCTGGGGTATAATTTTATTTTCTTAAGGCACTTGCTGAAATAAGACCTGCATGTTTTAACCCAATTTTGTGTTTTAATTCTTTTACTTTGTCAATAAAAAGCTAAAAAGGCACCCCAAAAATTCTACACAAAACAAAGAAGCAAAAACCAACAAATAAATAAATAATCAATCCCCCCAAACCTTTTGTTTTTTTCTTGTATTGTGAAGGATTTCTAAATGTTTTAATGCTTGCTCTGATTCAGTGGTCATATGTGGAGATAGCAGAGATCTCTTCTCCAACCCAACTCTTCTCTGGGACAAGAGATTTTGAATCTCTGTGGTTCCAGAAGTATTGGATAATCCCAGGGCAAGGCTATTTGGGTTGGGTACAGAACCAAGAGCAAGCTGTTGGGCAAGGCAGTGTCTGCCTATTTTATTCTTTATAATTCTTCCAAAGAGAGAGGCATAGCATATGCTGTTAGCTATTTATGCTCATCCTGGCTTCACGGAATCATAGATGAATGCAGGAAAATGACACATGGAAAAACAGGACTGGAGAATTCTACTGCTGCAGGAGAGGTTAAGTGGTAAAAGCACTATCCAAGAATAATGGAGGATATATTTTGTGTGGAAAATATATTTCTGGTGGGCCTAGACTCAATAATTAACCTTAGAATTCCCCAGGTTTTTATTAGCAAAGCACACTACCTTCAGTGACAGCACTTACAGGTAATGTCAGATCCTGCAGTCAGAAACCACCTGTGCCGACTTGAGTGGTTTATTGGTCACTTGCACAAGCTATGAGCCAAAGTACAGTGGAATAATAACACAGATTAGGGAAAGTTTGCTAGAACTCTTTCAAAAAGTTAGAAAGTTACCTACAAATATGGAAAAGGAGGTGCAAGCTCTGACACTTTCATGTCTAACCCTCAAACAGCCATTCTCTCCCTGTTGATTTGGTAGTAATTCAAGTTTTGAATAATACATTGGAAAGACTGTGATCTTGAGGACTGGTTACAGACATTTTCTCAACAGTCCTAATCCAGACTGGAGGCTGGAGGCTTTGGCTACAGGCTAATTGTTGATTCTTGTTTACCCTCTGGGCACTTTTCACAGTTCTGGCAGAAAAAACAGCCTTGAAGTGTTTGTAAAATATGGAATACATTTGCATCGTAGCAAATGAGAAATGAGTCCCAAAGTCTTAATGCTAACATTGGTATGAATGTAAATTTAATAGACCTGCAGTTTTTCCTTAACAGCCCTCATACCTTCACTTTGTGATTCACAAGAGAAAACAATCCTTCAATAAAAAATATTTTAACCTTAGAACCATGGAAAGAAGTATTATCATCCTGTGGAAGAAAGAGCATAAATCCAGTGTTATTTTCCATTTGTTTTCATTTTACTTTTCACACATAACAATATAAGCCTTCCCATCACTCCTGCTATTAACATATGGAAAAGTTCAACTGCAGAATTTGCCCCAGTGATGAAGTTCTTTGACTTGTTCTGAACCACGAATGTTAATGCCCAGACTGCCAAGAGGTATCGCTCTTTGATTTATGAATGCACATTTATGAATTTCTGGGGATACTGAGCTGTCTCTGACTACATATTTTGAGATAAGGACAAGTGCTGTTGAGACTTAAACCACCCTCTTTGCAGACTTTGTATTAAGGGGCTTGCAATGCACATAAATGCTTTTGTTATAAATAAATGCACCAAAAAGTGTATTTAAAACAACTCTAATATAACACGTTGATTTCACATCTTGCATCTTGTTTGAACTCAAATTTAAACATGGCAAGTGAAACTGGATAAAACAATTCTCACCAGCTTTGTAGTTTTAGGGAGATTATTTAATTTACTTTGCTGGAATTTTCTCACTGACAAACCTGAAGAAGTACAACTGAAAATGATAGACTTCCAAATAGCCAGTGAAAATTTCCTCATGCCAGGTAAAGAATGGACACAAAGAATTTATTAGCAGGCTTAAGGGCAGGTATTCTTCAGTCTCATTTTTAAAGTTCATTCCTCAATCAAGGCAAATAATAAATAAAAGAAATTTTTAAAATGTATTTAAAGTTCGCTAAGTTCCTGTATTTATAACATGTGAATAGTTTAGCTTTCTCAGCACTTCAAGATGCCTGAAAACTGAGCTATAAAGGAAGCTAGACACCCAATTTGCAATGGAAATATATAAGATGATGAATTGGATTTAATGGGCTCCAGTAAATCATAACATTAATGCTATTGCATGATACTTCACCTTAGCACCAGATTAAAAAAAATCTGTCTCAAACTGAAAAACATATGCTCTAAACCCTCCAAGTCTGAGAAAAGAGCCAATTACTATGAGATCTGTAAGCATATTAAGCACATGTGACTTTTGGTTTCAGTACAGATATGAAACACGGATGAAATATCCTTAAAAATTTTACTCTTTAAAATTTAATATAGGAATTTGCAGGACTAATGGACCTTTATAGATTAACATGTTTATCACAGTTTTAAAAATAATTGAAGAGTACATCTGGTTTTGGGATGAAGAAACACAACCAATTTCATAAATCCCTTTTATCAAAACATCAATGCAGCAGAAAACACAAATATCAC